GGTGGGGGGGGGGAGAAGAGAGAGAAATGAGTATTCTTGGTATTAAGCACAATTAATTTGATGTTTTGGTGGTGATGCAAAAGTTTCTCATCTTTATATTTAAAGGTATCCATTTAAAAAAGTTCCAACTTGATTATGCACTAATTAATGAGTGGATGAAAAGTAGTCACATCACTACGAAGCACCATGTTCCTCTCCCTCACACGCGTACGCACACGCATATCTTATTTATCATATCTTAAAATAGGTATTAAAATTCATGAAAACACTATAACTAGATCCATACATCAAATATAACTAGATATCTAAATCCAAGTCATTAAACACTAAACTAAAACTAAAAGTTTTTAAACTGAAACACTATAAAGAAAACTTAAAGCGTTTTTAATAAAAAATAACTTAGATAATCTAAATTGGAGCTTAAATGTAATTATTCAAAACAAACCCTCTGCATCTAACTCTAATTGATGTTAAAAAAAGAACAATAAAATGAAATACAATTAATACTACTCATTATTAAGAGTATTCAAACATTTTAAAGAGCTCTTGCACCCACAAAATTCCTCAAATCCTATTTCTATTGTTATAGTTATAGCAATTTTCCTCTTAAAGTCAGTGACAAAAGTTTCGGTGATGATAGAATCTTAGACAATGAGTGTAAAGGAGACGCTAGTTAGTGAATTTTTAGGGTTATTTTTAAATGGGTTTAACCAAATAGGTTTTGGGGACATCTTGGTCTATAAATTGCGTTTGATTTTGGGACATTTTGGTCCATAATTTGGATTTGATTTCAGTTTCTTTTTAAATATGTCACATAAATGCATTGTGCGCGCACTTACTATAAAATCGCTAGGTTTTGCAATATGACTTCGTGATTGAGTCATTTTTGGAGAAATTTTTGAAAACAACCGTTTTCAACATTAATGGGCAAAATTGACTATTGCAAAAAAATAGCAAAATCGACCCCTTTCAGATGAAAATGGTCGATTTTTCTTAAGGGTAAGTTCTTGAACTACACGGGACTACTAGTCCCGTGTAGTGACGTCCTCCATTTCTCCTCCCCTCTCTTCTCCCTCCTCTCCCTCTCCTCCCGTCGCCTCGTCCTCGTCCACGACTCCGCCATGTCCTTCTCCGCCTCCATCGCCTCCTCCCTCCCCAACGCCGAGATCTCCGTGTTCCACACCGCCTCCGCCTACACCAACCTCTTCTTCCGCCTCAACTGCCCCCTCGCCCCCCTCTCGCCGTCGCCACCGTCGCATCGTGCCCGGGACCAGAAAGTCACGCTCGGCTTTGACGACTGCTTCTCAGAGGAGTTCATGTGGTTCATCAAGACCCAACACAAAATGGCTGCCCACGGGCATAGTCGAATCCTAAACACCTGTTGAGCGATCGACGACGAATTCATCTACAGACTCGCCCTCCAGCCCGACTGGACGGGCCAGAAGGTCTTCGTCGTAGGCCCGCTCAATCTGATTGGCGTCGACGCGATAACGAATGCCTAG